GCTAAGTCAATCCGAATCGTGTTTGCAGTTGGACTTGGTATGGAAGTAGAGGAGAAACAGCTCATATTGATTGAGAGAACAGTACTAACATGTTCAAGAATGACTTCAGAGGAAAGCAATGCATTTCCTTTCTTATTCATTCTGGGAAATGACACCTAATTTGAGTCTGTCTGCAGTCTAATGCCTTCAGTCAGGGTTATCTGTTAATAACCCAGGAGATTTCTGAATTGCCCACCTCTGCAGTGTTAGCCTTGTGTATGTAGGCTCATGATCTGGTCAAAGTGAAGTTCTTACTGAATGCCAGGTATCCAACCCATCTTTGGGTACTTGTTCACTTTTCCCAGCTGTTAATTTTTGTAGAAGTCTTCCCAGAGTCACTTAGAACACTGTTGATTAAAAAATAAAATAAACTGTACGAGGGTCAAAGAAGTGGGAAGAAATGTTCACGGACATTTTTTTTTTCCCTAATCAAAGTAAAAACAGTACTGTGATCTATCTATAGGGGAGGTATTTTGTTGTTGTTGTTGTTGTTATTATTAGTGTGTGTGTGTGTACCGTCAAATTAGATCTGACTAGTACAGGAGGAAATTGTCCCTCCTTCTCCAGTGGAGCAACTGGTGGATTCGAATTGCGTACCTCTGGGATTGCAGCGCAGCTTCTTGCCACTAGGCCACTAGAGCTCCCTTCAGGGGATGTGTTCTTAACATATACTAAAAGTCAGAAAGTTCATGCTGCCTTTTAGCTGCTAAGATGGTGTTACTGAAAAGTATTTGAGAACCAGCAATAAGGCAGCTTGACCTTTGGTTTTTTTGATATTTGGTAGTGCTTTCTAATACTAGCACAGAAGTGGAAAATGTATTACCTCATTGAAGCCCTGAAAGCACCCTGCAAAGAATCTGCCATCACTGCTTGTTTGCCTACAGTATAATCCACGTCTAGGAATAAGGGGCTTGCCTGAAATCACTTGGTATAGTTTCTTAATAAAATTCAAACAAAACACACTGTTTTCAAGTTAATGTCCAGAGCTGTAGAACCGAGAAATTCCCCATAGGATTTCCAAAGCCACATCCTCCCCACACACACCCCACCGTGGAGTGACTGATGTGTTCAAACCACCGTCCTTTTAGTTGGCAGTTAAGCTCTGTAACCACCATGCCACTGGGGCTCCTTTGGGCTACCTTCTGCGTACACAGAACTATAGAAGTTACCGTTTCTATGTGCTTTAAGAGTGATGATGCTCCTTCACTTTCATAGGACGACTGAGGCCCTTCAGGTTGTTGAAATCCTGATGCACATATTTTTTTCATAGAGTCCAGCTTCTCAGATTATTTGCTCAGCTTACAGAATGAGTAGATGTGGAGAGAGGATACAATTCCAAAGCACAGCTTTCCTCATTTTAAACAAATCTATCCTTGAGCCAAGTATGAATGCCGTCATGAGTCTTCTCCACCTCTGTCCATAGGTTGTGTGGTTTCCTTTGGGTCACTGTAGACACTTATTTAACACGTTGCCACACACTTTTAAATTGACGACCGTGGTTAGAAACATTTTATATATATATAATCTCCGTCATTTGCGGCAACTTGTTTAATATAATAAAGAAATTCAGGTGTTAGCTCCCTGTAGTTCTCATTTTGCAGCTTTGGATAGAGTTTCTTCCCATATACCTGGACGCTCCTTTAAGATACTCTGTAGAGAATCATGATTGAGGGTTCATCTGCTTCTTCTGGCCTAGTCCTTTGAGATTGTGTATTTGAGTATTTAAAATTGATACTTGATGATGAAAGCTGTGTTAGTTACTTCTGCTATTCTGCAGTATTTCTCAAAAACCTTTGCAAAATTTAGGCATTCAGTGTTTAGGTTTCATATATGAAAATTCATTTGAAAGAAATTAGTTAAAAAACAGTTCCATTTGTTGGTAGAGTGTATACAAATATATACACTGTTCCTATAAAGTAGTTTTTAGTTTTTTAGGTAGATTTTGTGATAAATTAAACAGAAATCAGAGGGGTTCGCTTTAGTCCATACTGATCACAGCTTTGAAACCAGGATAGAAAATCTTTGAGCCTAACGTAATGCTGAGATTTCTAGTAGCCACCACTTTTTTCCCTGATAAAGGTCCTAAAACTCAAAGATAGTAACCTGTATCAGTATAAATATTAGCATCATGTAATGAACTTAGAATATTTGACAAGTCTAAAATCTAAGCCTTTTATTAGATAATAAGTTATTTTAGGCCTTTTCTTTCTGTCAAAAGAAATCCATGCCAGCGTAGCCATGAAGTTTCGGGCAAAGATCGTGGACATGGCCTGTCTGAACCATTTCACGCTAATTCTTTATTATAGGAATCAGTAACATGATAGCCAAGCTTGTAAAAACCTGCACCCTTCGCATCAGCCCAGATAAGCTGAATTTCATCCTGTTAGATAAAGTGGCCAATGGTGGAGTGAGCATGTGGTGTGTGAGCTGCAACAGGAGAACTTCTTCAGTGAATTTCAGATGGAAGGTGTCTCGGCAGAAAACAATGAAATTTATATAGAACTGACATCAGAAAACTTATCTAGGGCCTTAAAAACTGCCCAGAATGCCAGAGCCTTGAAAATCAAGCTGACCAATAAGTATTTCCCTTGCCTGACAGTCTCCGTAGAGCTGTTATCTGTATCAAGCAGCAGTCGCATTGTGACTCATGACATCCCCATAAAGGTTATTCCTAGAAAACTCTGGAAAGATTTACAAGAACCCACAGTCCCTGACTCTGACGTTAGCATTTACTTACCAGTGTTGAAGACTATGAAGAGTGTTGTGGAAAAAATGAAAAATATCAGTAATTACCTTATTATTGAAGCAAATCTAAATGGTAAATTGAACTTGAAAATAGAAACTGAATTAGTGTGTGTTACAACTCATTTTAAAGATCTTGGAAATCCCCCATTGGCCTCTGACAGTGCTTCTCAAAGCAGAAATCCAGAGCAAATGGCTGAAGTGCGCATAGATATTAAGAAGCTCCTGCAGTTTCTTGCTGGACAACAAGTAAATCCTACAAAGGCCTTGTGCAATATTGTGACTAACAGGCTTGTTCATTTTGATTTGCTTCATGAAGATATGTCCCTTCAGTATTTCATTCCAGCACTGTCTTAATAACATATTCCCAGATAAGGGAGTTCACAGACCTTGGTCGTAATGAGAAGTGATGGATTCATGTGTTCTGAGTTGTTTGCCTCAGTTCTCACAGTAGCATAAGCCATCCACATTTTATTTACTTCCATTTCTAGAATATTTAACTAGAAATGGAATTCATGAAATAAAGCTGAATAAAGACAAAAAAAAAGAAATCCAACCCATTTCTTCTACTTTGGGGCTTTTGTTATTATGCCTTTTATTTACTAGGTATTTAAGTTGTTAATTTTTCTTTAGGGAGGGCAAAAAATGAGGCAAGATTTATAGCTTTAAGTGAGTCTGGATTGACTCAGCAGTAATGAGTTTTGGGTCTGATGCCATGAAGGGCCCTGGCTTCTGACTAGTTAGACCAGCAGTTCAAATCCAGATAAGAGTCTTGAAGGAAGAAGATGTAGCAGTAAGTATTACGGCCTTGGAAACCCTAAGGACAGTTAAACTTTGTTTTAGAGGATCATTATGAATCAAGATTGACACACAGCAGTAGGTTTGGTTTTTTAGTTTGATACCTTGATTCATTGATGCCACTTTCCTTTTATTATTTTTTTTACATTTATACTTGTTATCTTAAGTTTTGTGTTATTTCTCTGTAGTTTTGAGCAAATCTCACTTTTCCCTTCACAGTGTCCATTTTAGAGATGACTTTATCCTATAAAGCAGTGGAATGGGAGGTGCTTATGTAGTATTGCACTGACAAGTCTAGTACTGTTTTAGTTGTATGGTGGCAATATCAGGGAAATTATAGGGTAGGTTAGTATTGTCTGGTTTAAAACAGAGTGTAAATTCTCTGACTTACTTTCTTCTGGGTCATGTGAGTTACAGGCCTGTTCTGCAAGTGACATTTGCATGAGAAGTGCCAAGAGTATAATTCTTTTTTTTTTAATAAGTTATTCTTTTTTTTTAATTTTATTATTTTTGTGTGCGTGTACCGTCAAATCAGATCTGACTGGTACAGGAGGAGATTGCCCCTCCTTCCCCAGCAGAGCATCTGGTGGATTCGAACCATGCACCTCTGGGATTGTAGTTGCAGCTTCTTGCCACTAGGCCACCAGAGCTCCCCCCAAGAGTATAATTCTAATGTATAGTATTTGAACATGGATGGATTGCTAACAACTGCTTCCTCAGCCTACCCCAGCATCATTGTTGGTGTACCAGCACAATTTTAACACAACTATATGTACTTAATTATGAGTTTACATCTTCCTTTCATAATATATTTTACCTGGCTTATAATTTGAGCTGAAATGAAGAAAAAAGAGGAGACTTGAAATAGTCTGTCCGCTGCTAACACGAAGCTGCCTGTGATGTCCAAAAAAGGATAGTTGCCTTAGTGTATCAACACTTCTCTTGTCTTTGAGGGTGGTTTCTTCTTAAAAAGTGATTGCAACCAGCATAGCTTTGGGATAAATTACATATCCTCCTCCTCTCAGTTTATGGTTTGTTTAATTTTTCAGATACCTTCATGTTCTTATTCTTTTTCCAGAAGATTCAACCTATAATTAAATCTTGGGTCCCCACTTTTACTTTTCTGTGGTTACCCAATTCTTGAGTAACCTCGTCAGATAATCAGAGCTAAAAGGGACAGAGAATATTCTTGGTGTATCGAAAAAGTGATTTTGGAATAAATGTCAATGTCCAGACCCAGAAACATCTAGACTTTCTTTGTTGCTTTTTTCTGTTTGGGGCAGCAACTTTGTCTAGTAAAAAGGGAGGGGCTCCTTGGGAGGGCTGTGTTTAAGGGGTTCAGGAGCAGGGGGTTTAAGTGTGTCTTTTGTGTTTGCAAGACACTAACACCACTCCCGTCTGTATTTAAATGCTGTCCCCAGGTTACGACTATGGCTATGTCTGCGTGGAGTTTTCACTCTTGGAAGATGCCATCGGATGCATGGAGGCCAACCAGGTTGCTTTATACTTCGGTCAAATGATGCTGGAAGGAGATATATATATATATATATTTAATGTGTGTGGGGAGGGGGTATTCAAATCATTACACTTTGGAAAGGTAGGAGAAATCTGAAATCTGAAATCTTATCTTTGGAGCATCCCATGTTCCAACCAAAAAGTGGTTGTGAGGAGAAACTTAAGGAGTGAAAATTTTTCCAGAAGAGTTATTGGGTAGGATGTACTTTTAAAACTAGAGCCCATTTGTAGTTGGACTAGAATCCAAAGACAATAGATGGGGAAACACCGCCACAAAAGACAGCTTTGGAGAGCCCGCCTTGGAATGTGATGGAAATTGGGCTCCTGATGCAAAGAATGATCTTTGACTGTCTGTGACCCAAAGAGCTGCCTGGCACAGGGATTCTAGGTCCGTGTTTAATACCTGGACCTAGTGCAAAGACCACTGAAGGTTAACTCATGTGGTGCTCAGGTCCTTCCCGTGTGTACCACTTTCACAAGAGGGTCATCAGTGAGTAGAGAGATGTACATTGCTGGTGTCTGTTGCATTCATCATTATTCTTTGCCTTTTGGAGTTACATACTCATGTCCTTGGCTACATCTACTCAGTGCTGGTGAATCCGACTCTCTCCTTAGGTTTGAATCATCTAGAGATACTAAGCTTGCCACAAGTATTATCATCTAGGTCTTTAGTTGAAGTGCCATGTTAGTTTTGGGGGAGGAATTACTAAATGGCAATTTAATGCTTTGTCATGGTGTTCCCACTGAAAAATTCGTTTTTCTATCTAGTGCCCAGTTTCTCAATCTCTAAGATAGGAAAAGGAAGCTTAGTGATAAAGTTTTTTATCAACCAGTACCTATACTTAAGAGAATGCAGTGAGCTAGGATCTAAGAGGCACCTTTGCTGGAGAAGTGTATTATGAAAGGAAATGCTTCCTCTTCTATAACCCTTTCGTAAGCTTTGTTCCACTCAGCATTTCATTGTATTTACCCCTTTCCATTCTTTGGGCTATATTCTCCCCTAGTGGTTAGAGGGATGACATGCTGTTAGTGTGTTGTTGAGAGAAAGCTCTTATTAGAAGAATCTTTTCTGAGTGCATATATTTTATTAGTATCATAAACACTGCCAGGCCTTAAGAGGATTCTTGGGTTAGTACCATATCCCTTCATTTGGCAGGTTCTTGTACACTGATTTGCTCAGTGTGCATCTCTGAGATAGTCTTGTTTTGTGGGGGGTTTTTTGTTTGTTTGTTTTTTTAGATAGTCTTAAACACTAATTTTATATTAAAAATGTGCTACCTGCCAGGTTTGCAGAGAATGGAGGTGCCAATCTTTATGCCTATAATGAAGTCCTTTTGGATAGTCTGTCCTAATAAGAGAATTCTTATTTCACTCATAAGTATCTTTTTATCAGCAGAAAATAGAATGCCCGATGCTACTTTATGCAGTTTTAGGAGTGGTGGAGACATAGTAAATGGAAGAGCCGTGGCAGGTGCTGTCTCGTTTGCATCATTGTCACATCTGCACCTTCTAGAGGGTATTGCTTTTTATCAGTACTTATTTAACCTTGATCTTACCTCTTAGTTGTGCCTTCTCTCCTCAGCAACCACACCAATAACAAAAAATTCTTTCTGAATTTTCTAAATTGTGGATTTCCTAGAGTGTGGTCTTACACAGAATTTGAACCACCTTCTTAGCAGCAAAGGTATTCTTAGGAAGGTCTTCTTCTAGAGCCACATCTGAGAAAATGGTCATTTATATAAGCATGATGATTGAGCAGAAGGACAAGTGTCCTGTCTTAGCCATTCTATGAACATTTAGAGCTGAAAAATTACCCTTGCCTAAGCAATTGGGAACTAGAACAAAGCAAGAGCAGGGCCACAATTCTTCCAGAGGCAGAATCATTCTACGACAGGGAGCCACACTCTGTGCAAAGGGTATGTAGTAAGAGACAATATCTTTTGTAATATTTTATAATCACCAACTTAAGAAACTTGACAGTTTATGTGGTACTCATTGCATACGGTGTTTTCTTGAATTTTTGCCTGATCTCATTTTCAGTGTCCACTGGTGGTGTTCTTAAGGGAGTTATCTTAAATATCCTTATTCTTAGTGAATTGATTTATTTTTCTAGATTCTTCTTTTTCTCCTGGCCATGAGACATAGCATTGTCGTGCAGCGGAATCCTCTTGCTGAACGGCATTAGACTCTGTTATCTAAAAATCTCAGTTTGTGCAGGTTATTTTGTTGGAAACAAATTTTTTTTCTATAATTATATTTTATTAATTTTCATAAACATTTACAGAGATTTTGGGCTTCCACTCATTCATTGTTGCACTATTCTCTCTACCCTCCTCCCAGTTTGATCTTGTCCAATGCCACAGTGCTTGTCAAAGCCAGTTCTGATTAATCTTCTTTGTCAGTGTTTCCTTTGCCATTCCCTATCACTCCTCCCTGAGAGAGACTTCACCCTGAGTCATAAGGAAAAGGGGATGGCGTATTCTCTTAGCTACTTCCTGCTGAAAAGAAACAAATTTTAAGAGTAGCATCTCCAGGCAAATGAGTTTCTGTTGTAAAATGTACATGAAACATTTATCTACTTTGAAATAGTTTAGTGGCATTAAGTATTTCAGTGTTGTATAACTGTTAACACCATTATTACTAGAACATTTCATCAATTAAACCCATTGTTGTTGAGTGATTCTGGCTCAGTCACCCTATAAGAACAGAGTAGAACTGCCTTATAGGGTTTCCAACACTGCATATCCTTAGGGAACCATCTTTGTCCCACACTGTGGCTGGTGGAGTCGGACAACTGACATTTTGGTTAGCTGCTAAGCACCTTAACCACTGTGCCACCAGGGCTCTCTCTTCAACTTTTTAATCCAGGAAAATTTTTGTGCTTTGATAGTAGATAGTACAGGAGAGAAGATAACCTCTGGCAAGTTTTAAACCTCCCTCTGAGAGGGATGATAACTTGGTACCTATTTTATGGGGTTTTGGCATGGATTCGATGAGACCATTCATTTATAAGTGGCAGGTATCTTTCTGGATGCTGGGAATATAACAGTGAATAAGTTAAACAGTGTCATTTTTTTAGTGGGAAAAGATAGATCATAAACAAGTAGACAAAAGTAATACAGTATATAGATAGTGCTAAATGATAAAAAGAAAATGAAGCCAAATGCTAGACACTGTGTGAGGAGAGGGCAGTTTTCTACAAAGTAGTTGGCAAAGGTTCTTGTAAAATGACATGACATTTGAGCAATGACTTTTGGTGAATATGATACTAGAACCCTTGAATTCAGATGATTGTCTCTTTTTCCCTCCACTTTGTGTTAAGTAATATCCAGTCATAATTCTAGGAAAGCAAATTTGGTCTTATGTCTGTAGTTTATGAAAATTATTTCTTTAAGGAAATAGGTATAGTTTAAACTCCTTGTCACAGTGATTCAGAATCTTAGTCAAGATGTAAGAATGTGAAAAAAGAAGTCATTATTCCTAGAGTGAATTAATGAGTTTTTGTGAAAAATTCATTTCAATCTAATCATCTATTTTCCTTTCCTCCTAGTTTTACTTTCTAGTCAAATTGGTACAAATTATAAGACATCAGAATCTGCTAGGCACCTTGGAGTAGAGGCCACGTGAGAGAGTGTGTGTGTTTGTGGATGTACATTTAGCAGTTTTCTCTTAAATGCTTTGAGTTTTTCCCCTCCCCATTAATGCGAATATGTGTTTATTTTATCATTGACTGATACCTGGAGATCTAAGGAGGAGTTTGAAAAAGCTTTCTGCCAGCTAGCTTCATTACACTTTGTGGATTGGGTATACCTCAGTAAGATCTTTGGCACTCTGAGTCCCTTCCATCCTTTTCTGATGGCTGTATGGAGGCACCAGACAATAGGAGACCAACAGTTTTGAACATTGTGGCCAGGGACACCTATCAGGGCTTCACTTAACCAGCAACTGTCTAGGGAAGTATTTCCAGCAGAGTTCTGTCAGGTCAGACCAGCACTGTCTCTAAGAGAAGGGCACAGCTAGTGAACAATGTGAGGTAGAGCCTTTCATTCTACCCCTAAAGTGTTAGCAGTGTCGTATACCCATGGTATTCTTCTTTGTTTTCGAAGTCTTTGGTAATTGAGGATAATAAATACTATCTCCTTTTCTCTGTGTATGTCATTGCTCTGGAGTTGGGATAGGAGAAAGAAGTAAAAAGCATAATGTTAGACTATTGCTCTCTCAGTGTTTGCTTGATTGTTAAGTTCTAAGCTAGTTCTCTTAAAACATTGCCTTTTAGTCTGCAGTTATAAGTCTCTTATTTTCTTCTGTTTCATTCTCAAATTTGTAGGGTTGATGTTTGTTACCAGCTCCTGTTTGCTAAGCATTCACTGAAATGTCCTCCTAAACGATAGGTTTTGGATAATTTATTTCTCTGAGATTTTGTAATCATTGGTCTTCTTTAGCTAAGGATGAGTTGATGATATGACAGAATTAAGCGGACTTTACAAAATATGAAGATAAAGATGATGTTACTACCTAAAATAAAACGTCTCAAGGACGTGAAGGGGCCAGTATATGGACCACACTGGGTGACACTGTCAAAGGAAATGATACCAAAATGACAGCCTGTAAATTTTTTTGTGGTATGTTTCAGCAGAAATTTATATTATGTTTATAAAAATATACCTAACAACAACAAAATTTTTCATAGACCCAGCTGACTCATGAGTATACTTCCAAGGCTAAATGTTACACTCATTTGACCTTTTCAGTGCCTTTGAGCAAAGCTGTCATTATTCAATTACAAGGACACTTTGAATCGAGTGTTTCATGAGCACACACTGTAAGCACGCACTGTTATTTTTGTTGCTGCAGGTGTTTGTTTTTTTTAAAGAATTTCTTTTCTTTTTTTTATTATTATCATCATTTGAGTGTGTACCGTCAAATTGGATCTAACTGGTACAGGAGGAGATTGTCTCTCCTTCTTCAGCAGAGCATCTG